ATATATTATTTTTATTGTATTTTATGTATGTATATATTTATTTATGTATTTTATTTGTGTAGTTTATGTAGGTGTATCAAATTTAGTATCAAAAGATTAATTTATTTTAATCGCTGTTATTTTCTAAATGTTTTATTATAAAGCATTTTGCCCTATCGCCATAACATTTGTCTCTAACACTCGTTCAGGTTGACTGGTAGAGAATGCCTATGGCATTAAATCCGCCGTTTGCATATGTATGGCAATGAAGTTTAAATAAATAAAAAAATAAAATAAATAAAAAACGCGATATAATGTGAATTGTGGCGCTCATGCTACTGGGACAGACACACGACAATTTAAACCCATCCTCACGATTGAAACTCGCTAAAAACAAGGTACATGGTAACAATTCCGTAAATAACATAAATTACTAAATGAGCAATTATTAACTATTTAACGAGAGTTTAATAGTATATTTTGGATTGTTATTGTTTTAAAAAAAAAATGGTTGCCTGTAAAGTCGGTTTTACGGGCGAAGATTTTACGTGACAACGTCTTTTTCTCGGTAGAATATTTATTGATATGAATATAATTAAATTGCACAATAGGAACAAGGAATTGAATGAAAATAAGAATTGCACAAATTTTAACTATAGAAATATATTTTGTTTACTAAAACATTGTACATGTAAACTTAAACTTAACACGAGAGACTCATCGTAACGTTACCGAGCGTTACACTTTTTCATAAGTGACTCCCAGCCGCAACCTAATTTAAGACGTTGTCACGTCAAAAGTGAAAGTATCTTACTGTGTGTGCGCGCGCGTGTGTGTGTAAGTTATGTGTGCCTGTGTGTATGTGCATGTGTTTTTGTTTTTTATTTTTTCTGTTGAACTAGATAGGTTTTTATACATATAAAATATTATAACGAGAGCTGCTGCCGACAAACTGTTACACAGTTTGGCAGATGTATACATAGTGTTTACATGTGTAATAATGTGGAAAAAAATAATAATGATAAAATCGATTTGAAACATAAGGTAGGAATTGTGCGAGATATAGAGTAACAACTATTCCCTTACTAATAAAAAACCTTGAATGTATATTTTCCAAAGCGTAACTTAAAATCTGTTGGGTAATCTACCTACTGGTACCATAAGTCTGTGTTTAGCCCGATTCCGCTTAACATATTTTTATTGTGTTTTCGTCGTTTAGCTGAAATGAGTACGGGAATGTAATATTTTTTCCAGAGATTACGGTTAAGCCCCTTTGTAAATACTGATAAACAGGTTGTGAAGAGACAAAGAGCATTAAAATCTTCAACGTAGCATTTTGAATTTTTGAAGATTTATACTTAAATAAAACTGAGCAAGTTAAAAACTTTGAATATGAGTTAAAACACATAAAAAAATCTATACTCCATATAACAAAGAGGTAAAGTTTGTTTATCTGTGGAACTATAAAGTCGATTTTAGAAATTATTTCATAAGTTAAAAGCTGCATTTTTCCTAAATCATTTAGGATATAGTGTTAACATAAATTTCACAAGTGCAAATCTGGGGCGCGCAGCTTCGACGCAATAAAAAAATTAAGAATAACAAAATTTTGTCTCAGCACGAATCGCACTCACAGACGAAGAGTATCATTTACCATACCATTGCACAAGGATGGAACATCCTTTTGAAATATACACATATGTAGACATTGTGCAAACGAGCAATTTAGCACATTCCCGTAGCGACGTGTTATGTATGGAGACCCTATTTTACTATTTATATTTAAAATAACGGGTTTAAGGATTTTCACTATTGTAGACAAAATTTTCATTTTAACAATTATTTATAATCCGTCGTCGATGAATGGGTATAGCCCATTCTCAAAAACGACCGATTTACGCACGGCAATCTGAAGCTCTTTGATAGATAAGGTTGCATAGTATTACAAAGTTACAAAAAAAAAACCACGATCGACAGATCACCTGTCTGTCACTACACATACACATTCGGCATTCCGCCGCGATCCGGCAAGCAAACATCGATCCATATCGGAGCGCGTTAATGCCCCGTCCCTACTCGCTGACAGATCAATCGTCGGTGACGGATCGCTTTGAAAGTTTGCGCGCCTAAAAATCGCGACTAACACATAGATACATAGGTACGATATAAACCTACACACAGATCGCGCTGATTTATGCGGCAAACTAACGATTTATGCGTCGCGATGGCAATGAATCGCGCGACTATTGCGCGATATAGCTCGCCTGTGACGTAGCGAAATATTGCTCGCGTTAAAAGTTTTATGGATCAAAATAAATACTGATGTGAGGACCTTTTTTTCGTATTTCTCTTTTTGTGTGCGTAGCTCAATCCGTGTTTTTGATAGGCTTTTGTTTTTAATTGAAATCACCAGATCTTACTCACAGATATTGTTTTCTGGGTTTTCGGAGCCAAACAAATAAAAACGGCTCCATATTACTGAACAGCCCCTCCGTCTGTCTGTTAGTGACTTGTATTTGATAAATGAAACAAGAATAAGTACTACGTTATAGCAAGACAGTTGAAATAACTGTAAATGTGTATTGATTACATGTTACCGCTGTAACAATAAAAAAAATAGACAAAACGAGGAGGTTTTATCAAAAAAATATCGGCTGTCTGTAAAGTCGGTTTACTGACGACAGTTGAACGTGACAAGGTTTTTTACAATGTACATAGTTTTTATAAGTATGAATGTGCTTTGAGCAATTGTTTTACACTTTTACTTTTATTTACAACTTTTAAACATGTGGGATATCATTACCTTTATCGCCGCAATTATCGTTGCTGTAAACAATTGATACCACACTCACTTTTCACTGCACTTCATACTTCACGAAAACATGTAAATGTATTATTGTATATCAGCTGTCCACGCGGACGCATCGCTCACTCAAGTAGGACACAGATGTCGAACGCTGCCGAACGCGGAGGCCGATTGTGCCTCTTTGTCGCTCGTTGCGCGCTCTCGCTTGCACTTCAAGCCGTAAATGGAACGCCTCAGAGCGAGGTAACACCGCATGAGTCATGTTTTTTCGTGCGTGCAGCCGGCTTCATCGAATTATAAGACGTCGTCACGTCAATAAAAATAAATAATTTTATCACAACCATTGTAACTTTAAAGAAAGCAACCTAGAAAAGTAAACATGATTACAAATAAAACATAGAGATTTTTCATCCCTCCTTGAATTCAGGCTTGGTCTGCTACTGTATGATATGACTGGCCACACAGAATACAGAATTATATGTTCTGTGACTGGCCATTTCGCTCGCAGGGCCCGGGCTAAAGGGTTTAAAGGTCGCCAAATCAATATTATCACCAGTGATCTTTGGAGCGATCCCGTTAGTTCAATATTCATCATATTCAGACGCGATATTTGTGCGTAAATCGGATGTGGGTGTGTTCCCCTAATCAAGGCCTGCGTACCGTAGTGACGTTTTATTACGGTCGTGGCTGTAAAATCGGGTTGAAGCTTGTGTTTCATTGAGACGTTTCCGTGATGTGCAGTTTCCGAATGTATTGTATGCTCCGATAGCACATTTAACGATCTTTACCTATTGTTGAATGAGGAAATCGTTTGAATTTTATTGTTCCTGTGATTATACAGGTTTTAAACGTTTCGAGAGCAAATGTAAACTAAAAATTTAATCAAATAACAAGCGGATCATTCGATCGATCCATTCGTTCCCATAATTAAGTTGTCTACGATCAGACTTACCTTAATTTAGTTTACTTTTGCTCTTGAAACGGATAACAGTTTATTTAATTAACTTAGGTTCATTAACATTACGTAAACATTATTCACCTGGGTTCATTAAGTATACCTACTAAAAGTCAACTTTAATCGTCTTATTACCCTGGTTGCTTATACTACTTATTGTACTAAATTTAAGTAGTAAACTTCATTCAATTATATGGTAGGGAACAAATAAATCAATCTTGAACAAATGGAGAATGACTAAAAATACTTTAAAAATTAAAACATCTTAAACTACAGAGAACGAATATCGAATGTGTTTGATAAAGTGTTTATGCAGATTTGATCTGACATTTAAAAGTAAGCACGTTCAATCGAAATTCAAAAAATGCATGTCTAGTCTATGGTGGATTATCGTTTTCAAGTTTCACGGATGCTTTATCATTATGAGCCTACAAGGAACCAACATTCTCAAATCAACTCTAATTTTAGTCTTGCTTAGAACGCAATTCTATTTTAATTAATTGTTTAAAGCCAAATAGAGATCAAATAGAACGACGAAGCTAATTAAGATTCAGATTTAAATTTTATATAAGAACCCTCGAACAAGTGGATTTCAATTTGCAACTTTTCGGGGCAAGTATCATAAATCCGTAGATTTCAATCTAGTTCTTATTTTCGCAATCTACAACTCCGAACATAAAAGGAGACGTTGCAAATTAATTTTCTGGACGAAGGGAGGCAAGGCAAAAGCCTACCTCGACATTTGGCCCACTTTTTACCGGCCATACCATAAATTCATGCGAAGCTCCGCCATAATTCAAACGGTCAACTGACTCCACTATTGTCCTATCGAATCCCACATTGAACGAAAGAGAGTTTTAACACTTTGGAAAATGAAAACGTTACACAGAGAAAGCTAGCTACACATTATTTCATATGTCAAGATATCCAAAATTGACCAAATTCTGCAACTGATTTTGTCTTAGCTTTAATGAGAATTTAGAGAGAATCTTCTCAGATTAGAAAATTTCAAGCTCTCAAAAGATGTAAATAGCGCACTAATGAATCTAACTAACCTGACACTGGATTTCATAATTGGAAGGTTTTGAGAGTGACGCGGATGAACTGTATCACCAACAGAAACACAAGACCACCAAAGTGTGGTGTTATTTTACTGTAGTCTTCTGTAAAGTGGATGTTACTTCTCCAGACAGACGCATCAATTCAAGCGGGAAATCCGCTATGGCCTCCTCTTCTTAAACTAAACTTAATTTATTTGTTTACAGGCCAAAAAGCGGCTCGATGCTGCTGTACAGCCGGAAGAAGGTGAGGTACCGACGCGACGGCTACTGCTGGAAGAAGAGGAAGGACGGCAAGACGACCAGGGAGGACCACATGAAACTCAAGGTCCAGGGGACTGAGGTAAGGATCTGGCATAAGTTATCCATCTCGTAGATGCTACCGAAATTTTAAAATAAGGCTTTATTAAAATTACACACAAAGAAAATTATCATCATCAACCTATTTCTGGAAATTTATAAATATCATTGTTGGGCTCTATTTCATCATCATCATCAGCCTATTAATGTCCCCACTGCTGGGGCACAGGCCTTCCCCATGGATGGAATAGGGAGATTGGGCCATGACCCACCACGCGGGCTCAGTGTGGATTGGTGGGTGCTAACGACTGCAGATGCATCCGGGACCAACGGCTTAACGTGCCTTTTGAAGCACGGAGGAGCTCCAGATAGTAATTTTTGGTCACCCATCCAATGACCGACAACTGCGAAAGTTGCTTAAGTTCAACGATCGCAGCCGAACGCGCTAACCACTTGCGCCATCGCTCTATTGCTAACTTGGGCTCTATTTACATAAGTACAATTGATATTTTGTCTGCAAATATTCCAACAAATAAACAAACAAAGAATTGGTCTATTAATGTCCTACTGCAGGGATATTAAGACTGAACCGTCGGTATTTATGCGCGAACGTTTACAATCCTTAAACAATCGTAAAAAGGGACATTACAAAAATCTTAGCGACACTATATTTCACGCTAATTTGAATTCAGCTATTAGATCTGAAAATAAAAATAGTAATGATTTGTCACATAATTAACTCACATGGATTCTGAACCCAAAATTTTCCCTTTCAGATGAGAAAGATACCAAACGGTGCATTGCAATATTTTCTTTTTATTTGCAGATTTTATAAAAGCATATATATTTATATTATCTTATCTTAATAAACTTTATACCAAGAGAAATATTCCTTGAGCATATAATTATTTTAAAGAGATCAATTTAGAAGTTGTAATCCCAATATTTATGATCTTCTCTTCCATGATTGCATTCTTAAACCAGTATTGATCTGTGTTGAACGACCCCAACTGACTCAACCGCTGCAATCAAATAAATGAACCTCAATTTTATTTCCGAACACAAAACCCGGAGTGCTGACTCCACGCGGACAGCTTGAGCGATGTTTGAAATCGGAACGAAAGAAAAGTAAATTACGGCCTTTGTGAGTGGGCTATGAAACCTGAGCGTCGGATATGACGGCTGCCTACTTTCACTGACACGTCTCACTTTGGACGGAAGATTGTGGAAGTGCTTAACACGAAAACAGCTTAGACTTCTAAATTTCATCGCGCAGGTGCCGCTAATTATTAGCCTATTAATATGTTCTTTGTGGATATAATCACAATGGGCTATATACTATCACGCTTAAATCTTGAAGTGGATAATATTTGGTGATCTTCTCTGAGGAGATTATAAAAGTGCTTAATTGCGTTTCAGACACTAATGCCGATTTTATTGCTGTATAAAATGATAATGGTGTTAATTCTGGCACGATCCTCTAAACCTAAACTTAAATTTGACAACAGTATATCCTTGTCATTCTCTATACAGAATGAAAAGAAGATAATGACGCCATTGTTAGTTTAAATATAAGATACTTCATACACTATTCCAATACAAAATCTAGCGTTTTGAAGGTTTCATTCGCAAAGAAGAACCAATGATTAAAACTCCACTGTCTGTCAGCGAGTTGTATCTTATACTATTTACAAAGTTTACTTGTCGTTTTTTATTCTGTTGTAGTAAATATTTAATCTTATAAGATGGTACGTTGTACGATGGTATGGTATGAAAAGCTTCGAATATATTTTGTTATTTTTTTTGCTGAATCTGTAAGTCTATGTTTATTTATTTGTTGTAGCGATGGATTGCTTATATTTTTAAGGTATTACTGTAGTCATAGGAATCATGGCTTAATTTTGAAACCACACATGTCGCTTATTATGCTTTACCTCAGTTTGAGCTTTGCAATACTAAAACTAGTCAAATGTACACTAATGCCATTTTTATGCTGTAAATTCTATTTTATTTTTTCTAAATCTTTGGCTGTTCTGCTTATTGCATCTCTTCTGAATGATTTTAATAATCTAGAAATTCAATATATGGCTAATAACGTGACTTCAAAATTTTATTTTTATATATTAATTTTAATTTCATTTTGTGCATGGTTTACTCTTTTTGTTGCTATACATAAAATTTTATTACAGTGTGATGAAATTATAATAATGAATTTACAGAAAGTATGTAATTTGTATAACATGTTTGTAATTTGTTTTACTATCCTATTCTTTAATTTCTTATGTAATAATTGTAGTTACGCAGTTACCCTAAATTTATTTCAAATTATTTTCTACGGTAATCTTAGAAATATGTTTTTAGTCTTTAGCTGCGCCAATAATTATTTTCAAGCAGAATCTGTTCTTGTTTTCATCAAATACAATTATACTGTACCCATTTTGATTTTAAACATGTTAAATATAAATCTAGTCAAATGTAAATCAAAATATTGTTTATGGTGTAAATTTAATTTTATTTATGTTGTTCTGTGTGCGGCATCGATTTTTAATAATTTAAATTATGTTGACTTATATTTTATAATGTCTAACAACTCAATTTTAATAATGTATTTTAATGTATTGAATTTATGGTCATATTTTGCATGCTTCATTTGTTATAACAATGTTATTTTTAACACTTATACTATATGGTTTTATTGTAATACAATAGCGTCGTCATTGGTGATGGTTGTTTTACTTAATTTGGGAAGTAAAATTTACTAAATCTAAATATTTAAAATTAGCGCTTTATAACGCAGGCTCTTTAAATACTGGTCACGATGACTTTCTTATTGCTATGAATCGTTTCGATGCCGATATAGTGGCTATTAATGAGACATGGATAGCGGCAGGGCAAGAGGCACGCGCGCCCGTTGCGCCAGGATATCGTTTGCGCAATGCGCCGCGTCCAAAGAAAATGCGCGGAGGGAGAGGCGGCGGTGTTGGTTTCTATGTGAAGCAAAATTTGAAGGTTCGTTTCTTAAAACACCTACGTACCGATATAGAACAAATGTGGTTGTCTCTTCGAGTGAACAACCACCGCGTCATAGTAGGCACAGCGTATAGACCTCAGTGGCTTGATGTTGACTTATTTCTTGATGCGCTCACAGAATCCATCTCAGGATTTTCAAACTACGATTATATTGTACTTATGGGTGACTTCAATGTTAATATGCTTGATGCTCCAAGTAGTTGTGTATCGAAAGTGCTCGACTTTTTGCAGTGCCACGATCTCAAACAAATTGTACAGGATCCGACCCATCACTCATACAATTCTGATACTCTTATTGATCTTATTTGTACTAATTGTGAAATTAGGGAGATTTCGAACACAAACATTACTGGCACCCTGGGACATGAAATGATAAATGTTAGCCTTACGTTAAAGAAGCTAAAGGTCCCGCCAAAATTTTACACTTACCGACCTTTGAAAAGTATAAAACTTGATCAACTCAATGCCGACGTTAATGCTATCGATTGGGAGTCTTTATCTAGTTTACCAACGGTGGAGAGTATGGTTGATCGGTTTAATAATTTACTATTAACGGTTTTAAACAAGCACGCTCCAACTATTAGGACTAAAGATCGGTCAAAACAGAGTCTGCCTTGGATAACAGACACGATCAAGTTAATGACTGATATACGAGAGAAAGCTCATTCGAGGTATCGCAAGACAAAATCAGATGCACATAAGCAGCATTATAAGGAAATGAAAAATGCAGTCACTATTGGAATTAGAAATGAAAAACGTGCTTTCTTTAACCATTATATTAATTCAAACATAGATAACCCTAAGCTATTTTGGAGAAACATAAAACAAAAAATATTGCCTAGTGATGGAAAGAACGAGTGCCTCCCGGATTGTTTTGTAGACCCTGATGCAATAAACAGGTATTTCTTAAACCTGCCAGGCTCGGAGACAGTGCCAATCTCGCGACTGACATATTACGAATACCATCGGCACCTTCATTTATCACCGCCCTTTAAGCTCCATACTGTAAACGAAACTGAGGTTTCTAAATGTATATTAGCTGTAAAATCGAATGCTACTGGTTGTGATGAAATTAGTAGGGACATGATATTGTTAACCTTGCCACGCACATTGTCGGTCATTACTGAAATTATAAATAAATCTATAATTACTTGTACTGTTCCCTCTCAGTGGAAGACTTCACTCGTTACACCGGTACCAAAAGTCGAGTCACCGTGTGAATTTAAAGACCTCAGACCTATAAGTATATTGCCCTTCATGTCAAAAATTTTAGAAAAGGTCGTTTATGGTCAGCTTATTCGGTATGTGGAAGAGAACAACATTCTCCCAAGACTTCAATCGGGGTTTCGTAAGGGCCGTGGGACAGTAACAACGTTGTTGGATGTTACGGATAACATACTTGTGGAACAGGATACGGGAAATGTCACGCTTCTAGCGCTACTTGACTTTTCTCGCGCATTTGATTGTCTCAGTATACCCCTCCTATTATCGAAACTATCATTTTATGGATGCGACGCCGAAACAGTCAGATGGTTCAATAGTTATCTCAGTGACCGACGACAAGCGGTAAGACTCCGCAAAGAGGATGGGTCTTTTTTGACTTCAGGTTTAGAGCTTGTAAGACGCGGTGTCCCTCAGGGGTCTATACTTGGGCCTTTACTCTTTCTTATATATGTTGCTGACTTACCTACTGCTATAAGACACTGCAAGTATCATTGTTACGCTGATGATGTGCAGTTATACGTGTCCAAAACGCCAAACACTATTAGTGATGCGATTTGTGAGCTCAATATGGATTTGGATGCGGTGGCTGCCTGGTCTGCTGCTAATGCTTTAGTTCTCAACCCACGAAAATCAAAATTTATGGTGCTCGGCACGAGTAAACAATTAGATAGGGTCTCAGACAGTGCTGTTGGTGTCAGAGTCTGTGGCGAAGTTGTGGAGAGAGTCAGTGAGGCCAGAAATCTTGGAGTTGTTTTTGACAGCCAGTTGCGTTTTGAGTCTCACGTATTA